GAACGTCATGTTGTTGTCCACTGCCCACTGGAAAACCCTGCTTATGTCTTCCTGTACTTTCTCAGTGTCCTCTACCGTAGTGACTTTCATGCTTATTTTAGCGTCATCTTCAAATGATGACACAAAAGTGTTCCGGGCGATTTTATCTATATCTGCTATGAGGATGAGAAACAGCAGAGGTGCCAGGATGGTGCCTTGGGGCACTGAGCTTTTGACCTCGCTGATGCTGTATCTTGCCCTGTTCACTACTACTTTTTGTGTTGTGTGTGTTAGGAACCCAAAAATCCATCTGCCTACCTTCTCCATAATGCCCATGGACCTCATTTTGTGTGTTATCACTCCATGATCGCATTTGTCAAACGCCTTTGCAAAACCTGTGTAAATCACATCTGTGTTTCGGTCGTCTTCCAATGCCTCAGTAATTCTGTCATAACGGTTCAGCAGCTGTGACAGGCATGATCGTCCTGCTCTAAAACCATGCTGGTTCAGGTTATGCTGGTTGTGCTATTCCATGAAATTTGTAATCTGCTGTCTCATCACTCTTTCAAAGATTTTTATGATGTGAGAAGTTGGGACTACTGGTCTGTAATTTTTAGCTAGTTCTGGTCCAGGTGCTGAGTGAGTGGGCATGTCCATTTCTTTTTCGAAATCTATGGGATTTGTAATGTCAGTTAGTTGGTCTGTGCAGCTTTCTTCTGGAGTGAAAAATATTTCAGCATTTTCTACCTTGCTGTCATTTAGTGGGTTGCTGAACACTGACTCATACTGTTCTTTTAGGATTTCACTCATTTCCTGTTCGTCAGTATACTAGTCTCCTCTCGGTAGTGGTCCAATTCTACAGGTAGTTCTTAGCTTGGATTTTGCATAGGAATAAAAATATTTTGGGTGTCTTGCAATATCCTGTATGATCCTTTGTTCCCTTTGTACTTCCTCTGTCAGGTATGGCATCCTAAGTTTTTGCTCTAGCTCAATGATCTCTTGTCTAAGCCTATCTTTCCTCTGCTGAAGCATATCTGTTTGTTTTTAAGCAATACAGTAACCGGTTTTCTTCTGTACCATCTCCTATGCTTTCTATATCTGATCTCCTGGATTTCCTCAATGGTACGTGCTTCATGCATACCATGTATGCTTCTCTATTCAGCTTCTCTAGGCACTGGTGGGGATTTAGGGTGCTCTTGTCTGCTTCCCAGGATATATCCAATAGCTCTTGGTTTATTTTTTCCCAGTCAATTCTACGGATGTTTAAATTAAACTTACTGAACATCCAGTCTTTAACATTAGTGACGCAGTTCCCTAACCCTGAGTTAATACTCGTTTGAACTTCTATGATGATGTGATCAGAGTATATTGTCTTTGTAACTGTTATATATCTGATTAATTCCTCATTGTTTATGAATATCAAATCCAGGGTATTTTCATTTCTAGTGGGATAGTTATCAGTTGGTTTAACGAGTACTTTTCACAAAGCCTCATTAGCTCCCTGGTACGTGCCTGTTGAGCCAGGGTGCTTCCTGGTGATTTTTCTGGTATAAAGTTGTGTTGCGCCATCTTCCATTTTACACGAGGGAGATTAAAATCTCCAAGGAGCAAAATAATTGGTGTGGAGTTGATCTGTGAATTCCTCAGCAGTTGCTGATAGTGGTTTGTATACTAGGATGATTATCAAATTCCTATTTTCAACTTTAATGCCTAGAATTTCAACTATATCATTTGTAGAGTTCAGCACTTCTGTGCAACAGAAAGTATCTTTTACATAGAGTCCTACTCCCTGTGACCTATTAATTCTTTCACACCTATACACGTAGTTTTCTATCTTTATCTCTCCGTCCAAAACATCCTTTGTATGTGTTTCTGTAAATGCTCCAAACATGGCATTCGCTTCTGATAGGAGCCCACTGACATAACTAACTTTGTTTTTATTTGATTTCAAACCTAGAATATTTGCAAATATGAACCATGAATTACCATTTGGGATGTTTTGTCTTTCTTTGTGCTTCGTTAGTACCACTGGTGATGTACTACCTGGTATGACCCCTGGTGTACATACCCCTGGTCCACAACTATCAAAGATGCAGGAGGCAAGGGAAGGGGAGGCAGGGCAAAACAGGGATAGGAAAAGCACAGATGAATAAGAAGTTGGGAGTTATGGGCCCTTGAGGTTTAGGAGGAAGAGATGAAGGGCCCAGCCTGGCAAGGCTGTGGGAGCAGAAATATGTGAAATGGTAGATGGAGGAGGATGGAGTATGGAAGAAGGTGAAGAGGTAGAACATGAAAAGTGAAAACTTGACAAGGGTTGGACTCAGATGACTGTGAAAGAGGCTGCAACAGAGAATTGAGCTTCTCTGGAATAGAAGAGCCATGGAAGGTGTCACTGGAGAAGGAGTCGACTCGCCTCCATAGCATACGAAAGACCTCCCTTTTAGGCAATGGATTTCACTCTCTCAAGAAAACTGGGCAACAGTGGGAATAAGCAGAGTGAACTTCTCCACACCTAAGGCAAGCAGGGGTGGAAGGTTGACTGAAGGATGGATTATGATCAGTCGTACTGCAAACCAAGGACTACTGGTAATTATAATACTTGCCTGAGTGGCCAAAGCACCAGCAATGCCTACAATGTTGAGGCATAAAGAGCAATTTCCATACTTGTGTTATCTAGCTACATAAACTGAGGCTGGAAGCTCCTGGCAATCAAAGGTAATTTTGGCAATGTTTCTTGGATAACTCCTCCAACCCCAGGTAGGGCACACATAAGTTTCCACTTTGGTGACTGGGAGGTGCTGAAGCCCAGGTTGTTCCTGACTATCTGGACCACACTGCTTAAATTCCTGTTGGATTACTGTTTGCAGGATGAGGACAGTACCACAACTAGAACTGAAAGAGGAATGTCTGTATTGTAACAGTTGTGTTGTCAACAGTGGAGGAGGGAAAGATTATAGACTTTCACTCCTGCACAAAGCCCATGCACATGCCACTCTGGAGGGCATGGAAGGACATTTTGATCAATATGCCTCATGAGGGCTTTGCTAAAGCAATGCTCAAGAGGTAATCAGTAGGTGGCACTGGTGAAGAAAAACAATTCGTCCAAAATTGTTTTTCAAAATACAGCTCTGAGGGTAGGAGGTTTCCAGGTAGTGTTTCTTAAAGTAAGGAGTGTCAGTAGTAGAGTCAGGATTGTCAAGGATGTGTTTGAGGTTGTTTGAACTATGGTGTTGACCCAATCTATTCTGTAAGGTATGAGTGATCCAAGAATACTCTCTTTCTACTTTGACTATGCTCCTGGAGAAGCTGGGAGCATGGTCAAAGTAGAGTGAAGGTCAGGAGTATCAAGAAGGTCAGCTGGAATACTGGCACCAAAGTCAGGCAATGAGGCGTTACCCAAAAGCTATACCGAGTTCAAAGGAAGGTCTGTGGACTTACTGGGGTCAGTTAAATGTGCCAAAATGGTAAAGAGTCTGGGAGGAGGCAAAAGATGAATGTGACTATCCATGATTAGGTTCTTTTTTTATTCTTACATTAAAGAGGAAAAAAGGGGAGAGGCAAGCCTTGGACGAGAAACAAAGATACCGTGCATCCCAGTGGAAACCGCCTCTAACCTTACCCAGGAGCCCCAGAACACAAGGATGGCACCTCCCGAATCAACGGAGCCAAGCTCAGCCAACAAGAGCAGCAAGCTATTGGAAATGCAGGGAGTCTTACACTTTTGGCTGCCACCTAACAGAAATCAGTAGGCAACCTCCAGCTATACTTCCATCACAAAAGGACATGCAAAGTTGTCCATAAATGTGCCAGACGGCAACCCAGCACATCCCAGAAATATCTTAATTCCTACAGCAAACAGCACTATCACTGAAGTCCTCAACAAATTTATAGGTCACAGGGTCATGAAGATCCTGAAAGTGAAGAAGACAAAGTAGACAATGATTATGTCAATGGCCTTATAATGAATTAGCATTAGACTATATACAAGCTTTCAAAAGAGAATGAACAAGAGGCACTGAGAAAGACTTGGTCTTAGATGATGGACAGCATGATGTTTGGAAAGCATAGCTGGTAAAGCAGATGAATACACCTAATGGAGACCTAATGAAAAACTGTCAGCCACCCTACAGTACAACATAATTTTAAACAAATTAAGTCTGCTAAGTCATGTAGCCTTTGGGGAGGTCACATAATTTCTGTGATATCTTGCAATCAAAGGGAAAAAGAAATTTGCGTCTGAAACACGAGAATAAGGGAAACCACACAGTATGAAACTGGGAATGATGAGGCACCAAACTCATGATTAAGTTAATTTTGAAAAGAGAGAAGTTCAAACCATGCAATGTAGCCCAACTAAACTTGGTCAACTGCATTCTGCAATGAGATGGACACCTGCTGAAAGTTTGTGCCAGTATAATGAATGCTAAAATCATCCACTAGAAAGAGGACCAAATTCTCCATAATAGTTCTAATCCTAGACCATTATTAGATTATAGAAACAAGCTGTGCTACAAACACACCCAAGTGGAAGACCTGCTTTAATGAAGTCTGGTGAAAAGCTGGTATTGATCTAAGCACAAAGTGTTTGGTGATGAAGGTCTTGAGAAAAACTGAAAAAAAAAAAAAAAAAAAAAGGGGGGGGGGGGCCTAGGAATAATTCTGTTATAGATATACAGTACAAAACTTTTCCAGGGAGAGAAAAAAAAAAAATTGCCAACAAAAACCAACCTTTAGTAAGGGCATTACAAATGTATTTATCAAGCTGGTTTAAAGGGTGAACAGTGGAAAGTCCCATTTGTATTCAAGCTTATGTGGAGATAGACAGTTGTGGGTCTCCCAGACAATACCACACTAGTTTCCTGTTAACCATACATAATCCACAATAAAGGTTTGCTCTATACCAAGTTTTTTTTATACCATAAATATCAACAATGCCTGCCATCTTACACAAATTATCCAAAGACTAATTTTAACACTCATGTTATAAAACATTTTTACAAGGTAGGGAACTGAAACCAATATTATCTTATTAGTTTAGTACAAAACATTCAAGCCCAATAACAATTAAAAAGAAGTAACTCTACAATACATAGAAAGTGTTACAGCATGGTATATCCTAGCTATCGATTACAGTATATACCAGTTGCTTGTCCAATATGCCAAATAATTGTTGGATAACTAATGGCAAAACAGGTTGCTCTCACTAAGGCTTGAATAAACACAACTTTTGTGACCAAAAAAAAAAAAAATAAATCTTGATATTACCTGACTGTTTTAATGAAGAAATGCCAAAATCAAATAAATAAAAAAAAACTATCCATAAAAAAAAAATTACATTTTCAATGTCATAAATTTAGCAAGCCATTAGAAATTTTTTCAGCTTATTTCTTTTTCTTCTTGCCTGTTGCTGTTTCAGAGGCAGAGGTTGAAGCTGCAGCGTCTTCAGGTGGAGCCCACTTGAGGGGATATCGTCGGTAGATAGGCCATGGTGGTAATGTTACCTAAAGAAATAATGACAATATATATAATACTTGTAGAGCTAAATAAATTTTTAATATATACAGTAGGGCCCCCACTGATATGGTAGGTTAGGTTCCAGACTACTGTCGGAAAGCGGACAGTGCCAGAAAGCAGAACACCATTTTTTTCCCCACTTATAAATGCACACAAATGCCAGATAAGTTTATACTAACATATATAAAGCTAACAATAGAACTATAAAAAGTAAAATACATACACAGTACATTCATTACCTACCTTAAAATATTTGTAGTCAATGTAGGGCGAGACGTGAGTAGTATTTATTTATAGGAAGTCAGGTGTAGGTAGACCTGGCTCCCACTCCCAAACATAATACAGCAGGGCCCCGCTTTACGGCGTTTCACTTTACGGCATTCCGCTAATACGGTCATTTCAAATTATGACCAAAACTCACTATACGGCTCCCCCCACCTGACTTTCTAATACGGTCACCGCGCCCCACCCTGTTTGTTTACATTCTCCGTGAGCTCAGTAAGCACTAAGTCTCTCCATTTTGTCTGGAAACTCCAAAATTTCAAATGTTTTTAAAAGTTATTTCATATTTTATATATACTCTGATAATTATACTTATGTATACCTGTACCTAAATAAGCTTACATACTGTGCTGGCATGCAGGTACACATTAAAATCAGTAAGTGTGTCTTATGTCTCCAGACGTCATATTAGTAATGATGATAATAATCATCGAGTCTCATTTAAATGTCGTATATTACGTTAATATACACATTTTCATTAATCCATCCATGATATTTTTTTCAAAATTATATAATAAACACGATACATAACATAAAAAGATGATAAATACACCCCACAATAGAATAAATAAACATAAATATGAGATGTGGTAGCCAGATAACTTGTACAAGTGACGGCAAGAATAACATTTTCTCTAATCTAACATAAGAGAAAATGTGTTACTGTGGGTAACTGTAGAAAATTATTCCTTTCGTATGTAAGTTTATTCAGGTATACACAAATACAGTTACATAGAGTATCATACATAACATGTGTGTAGAGAACCTAGGATAACCCAAAAAAGTCAGTGACTTATTTCCATTGCCTTCACTCAGAGCATCATTTCTTCTCAAAATGATGTTACATGAGAAGGGAGTGTTCTTTATTTATTCTACCGTATCAATGTAGAGACAACCTGTACACAATGTAGCTTGTACACAAACCAGACGTGTACACTTTGTTTACAAAACTTACGTTCGCCTGGTTTGTTTACATAACTCTGCGCCTGTCCTCTCTCATGCACTCATTCTTTCTCTCTCTCATTTATTCGTTTTATCTCATTTACTTACTCCTGACCCTACATTAAGACTACAAATATTTTAAGGTAAGTAATGAGTGAACTGTATATACATTTTATTGCTCTGGGATGCTTAAATATCATAGAATAGTATGTGTGGGTGGGTTGGCCTGGTATGGTAGCCCGGCTGACTACCATACATACCGCACTTGATTTCTTACAATAAATACTACTCATCTCACCCTATATTTTAAGGTAAGTAATGAGTGAACTGCATATACATTTTATCACTCTGGGATGCCTAAATATCATAGAATAGTATGTGTGGGTGGGGTGGCCTGGTAAGGTAGCCTGGCTGACTACCATACATACCACACTTGATTTCTTACAATAAATACTACTTGTCTCACCCTAGATTAAGACTATAAATATTTTAAGGTAAGTAATGAGTGCACTGTGTGTGTATTGTACTTTTTTATTGTTTTTTGATGCCTGGTTCTATTGCTAACTTAATATATGTTAGTGTAAACTTGTTATCTAGTGTTTGTATGCATTTATAAGTGGAAAAAAAAGGGTGTTCCACTTTACAGCGGCTTCCGCTTTACGGCGGTAGCCTGGAACCTAACCTGCCGTATAAGTGGGGCCCTGCTGTATACGATATTTAAAGTGGCCCAGAGTGATAAAATACACACACAGTACACTCATTACTTACCTTAAAATAAGTAGTCTTAATGTTGGGTGAGAGGCGAGTAGTATTTATTTGTAGGAAGTCAGGTGTACGTAGCAGGTAGGTTTGGGTAGCCAGAGTCCCCCCTACACTGGCCCAGGGCGATATTACTATCAACATACCTTGTTCACCGAGTTTAATCATTTCTAACAACTACCTTTAGATGCCATCATAAACAAAGGGAAAAGTGATGAGAAGTCACGCAAAGAATGGTAAACAAAGCTGAATGTATCAAGGGGAGCGACTGGCTACCACACCTCATATTATGTAAAATTTATTGTAATGTGGGTGTATAATGTTTATATGCTGTGTAACGTGTCTTATATAATTTTGAAGAAAACTTCATTAGATGGATTAACCCTTTCAGGGTCCCCAGGCCCTCTCCCAGACTTGTTCTCACGGTCGCACAAATTTAAAAAAAAAAGAAAAAACTTATGAAAAGATAGAGAATCTTTTCCCGATCATAATGACACCAAAAGTATGAAATTTGATGGAAAACTTATGGAATTATGCTCTCGCGAAGTTAGCAGTCTCAACTATGTTTATGCATTGGCGATTTTGCCCACTTTGAGCCCTATTTTCGGCCAATTCCAGTGTACTAGTCAACAAAAATCATAACTTTTGCTAGAACTCCATTTTTTCTATCGAATGAGTACATATACGATCTGATGATATATACGATCTGATGATATATACGATCTGACGATATATACGATCTGACGATATATACGATCTGACGACATATACGATCTGACGACATATACGATCTGACGACATATACGATCTGACGACATATACGATCTGACGACATATACGATCTGACGATATATACGATCTGACGATATACAGTGGACCCCCGCATAACGATGGCATCACATAGCGATTTTTCCGCATACCGATTACTTTTATCGCAAAATTTTTGCCGCGCATACCGATTAAAAACCCGCTTACCGATTTTCGTCCGAGACGCGTCCAATGTGCCCTCAGCCAGCCTCACATGTGCCGGCCGTCCCATTGTTTACCAGCCAGCCTCCGCGGTAACATCCAAGCATACACTCGGAATATTTCGTATTATTACAGTGTTTTCGGTGCTGTTTCTGGAAAATAAGTGACCATGGGCCCCAAGAAAGCTTCTAGTGCCAACCCTGTGGTAAAAAGGGTGAGAATTAGTATGGAAATTAAGAAAGATTTTGAAGGGTTTGGGCTAACCCTGAGAAGCCTATGCCAGTTGTGGAATCCATTGTGCCTACTTCAAAGATTAAGGAAATGTGTGCACAGTGGGTTGAACTGCAAACCTTTATAGATGAAAATCACCCTGACACAACTGTTGCAAGCCGTGCTGGTGACTATTTCAATGACAATGTTGTGGCCCATTTTAGACAAATCGTAAAGGAACGGGAGGTACAGAGCTCTATGGACAGATTTGTTGTGCGACAGAGGTCCAGTGACTCTCAAGCTGGTCCTAGTGGCATTAAAAGAAGAAGGGAAGTAACCCCGGAAAAGGACTTGCTACCTCAAGTCGTAATGGAAGGGGATTCCCCTTCTAAACAGTAAGAAGATAATGCTCTCCCCTCCTCCCATCCCATCAATCATCACCAGATCTTCAATAAAAGTAAGTGTCATGTAATTGTGCATGCCTTTTTCAGTTTGTGTGTATTAAAATTAACATTTCATGTGGTAAAAATTTTTTTTCATACTTTTGGGCGTCTTGCACGGATTAATTTTATTTCCATTATTTCTTATGGGGAAAATTCATTCGCATAACGATTATTTCGCATAACAATTATCCCTCTTGCACGGATTAAAATCGTTAACCGGGGGTCCACTGTATACGATCTGACGATATATACGATCTGACGATATATACGATCTGACGATATATACGATCTGACGATATATACGATCTGACGATATATACGATCTGACGATATATACGATCTGACGATATATACGATCTGACGATATATACGATCTGATGATATATACGATCTGATGATATATACGATCTGATGATATATACGATCTGATGATATATACGATCTGATGATATATACGATCTGATGATATATATGATCTGATGATATATATGATCTGATGATATATATGATCTGATGATATATATGATCTGATGATATATATGAGCTGATGATATATATGATCTGATGATATATATGAGCTGATGATATATATGATCTGATGATATATATGATGATATACAGTGGTCCCTCGCTTTTCGTAGTTCTCGGGAATCATAGATTTTGGAAATCATAGGGATATTTTCGTATAAACATGGGCTCGCTAATCATAGGTTGACTCGCGAATAGTAGTTCGTCCGGGACGCGTACGCACGGTGTGAGCCGGTTCGGCCTCCCTACCCAGCCAGTCTGGCATTGTTTACCAGTGAGCGAAGGTCCCCTAACGTGTTCCTACGAAATATTTCATAATATTCCACTCATTTTAGTGCTTGCAAGTACTAAATAAGCTACCATGGCTCCAAAGAAAGCTCCTAGTGCCAAGCCTGTGGTAAAGAAGGCGAGAAATACACCAAAGCAATGTTTCACAGGTGCTTGACTGTGACCACAGACACTCACTTGACCCTAAGGGAATTTTGGAAAGAACACTTCAGCATCCTCCATTACATAACCCTTATAGGTATGGCTTGGGAGGGAGTGACTACCAGGACTTTGAACTCTGCTTGGAGAAAATTGTGGCCAGATTGTTTCGACAAGAGGGATTTTGAAGGGTTTGGGACTGACCCTGATGAGCCTATATCTGGTGTTAAATCAATTGTGGCACTGGGGCGTTCCATGGGGTTGGATGCGAGTTTGGAGGATGTGGAAGAGTTGGTGGAAGACCACAACGAAGAGCTCACCACTGAGGAGTGGCAAGAGCTTCAGCAGGAACAGCAACAGATCGCAGCTCAGAATCTTGCTGCAGAGGAGGAGGAAGAGAGATGGAAGAAGGTGCCTTCTTCAGAAAT